ATGTAATCCTAATTGAGATACACTAATTTTGATATAATTTGATATGAAGATGCATATGCGTATTCACCCTAGACAAAATATAGAGATGTATTTCCATATTCACACCAGACAATAAATTTTGACTTTATTTTAGAAATGCACTTATGTAATTGACAATGTATTATAGTTATATTATCATACTAAACTTTATATAAATTAAACCATACACTTATCAAATAATATGGAAATGACATATATATAAATGAATAAATCTGGAATACATAATGAAGTCAAAGTAAAATACAAACGATAATAATGCTCATAATATAAATATTATATACTAATGGGTATGTCGAACTCTGTCCCCCTGTTCCTAAGTTGCCTCCTCTACTATAGTTTCATTGTGTCTCATCTAGGATGACATATAGAATGTCCCTTGCCTCAAATTCTTTCGAAAAGATTCATCTGTCTGAACCCGCCTACACAATATCCAAGATACGTCAACATCTAGGAAATGTATCAACAACAAGATCTTCCCTAGCCTACTCATCCTCTAGTATCTCCTGATGAGTTGGCCTAGTTGGATATTTTGGAGCATTTGTTGTAATATAAGGATGTGACACTCTGAAATACCACTGGATGTATGCTACATCCTAATTGTTACAAGCTAGAGTACTTCGTGCCTCATCAGGTACTAGATGATTAAGGAAATCATCATACATGGAATCTATATCCCTACGTGTCATAGAAAGACTAGCATAATCAAAGGAGTTTCTAGGAACAAACTTCATGTAGATGAACTACCGCATGACGCGCTCAGGAAGATGTTGATGAAGGTGAGAAAAAAACAAGAAGGGGGAGTTGAGTTATGTTGGGATTTTTCTTTCTTTTTAAATCTTCTAATCAGATTCTAAATAAAAAGTCTAGAATCTGAATCAGAGGTGAATGATAAGTAACAGATAAGGAATGAAAGAAAGAAAAAGATGCACGAATTTATCCTAGTTCCTCTCATAAACTGAGAGTAGTCCAATCTCCCTACACTTTCAAGGTATTTCACTATAATCACACAAAATTACAATTTTCTCAAGCACACAAGCAAGAGACTTCCAATGCTCAAACACAAATTAAGAGACTTCTAATGCTCAAACACACAAGCCAAAGCCTTTATATGCTCAAGCACACAAGCAAGAGACTTCATATGCTCAAGCACACAATCAAGAGACTTATAATGCTTAAACATTAAGTAAGAGACTTCTAACAATCTGCATAACAGATAAAAGATTTTTTGGGGTAATACACTTGATATATAATCTAAGGAGTAATCGAAATACAATATAAGAAGACTCTTTAAGACTTAGGGATTTATAAGATATACAAAGATAAGAAATCATAAGTTAAACTTGTGCTTATGTTTTGACAGAGTAACAACTCTTTGAATGTCAATGGTTCGCTTTTGTTCTTCAAGTCTCCAGCTCCTTATATAGAGAAGGAAAATAATCATTGGAGATTTTTCACAAGAGAGTCTTTGAGAAGCTTGATTCATATATGTTGAGATGTTTCTTGAAATGGTTAATATCATTGAAAGATCATTTGAAATTCCTTTTCTTCAAAAGAAATTATTAGTTACATCCCAGCCGTCTATGTGAAAAACACCTTATGTATTCACGTGATCAAAAGATGACAAAATAGACATAGAGTCTAACAGAGACCTATCAGAGTTAACTTGATCTTTGCGCTTTGACTGGCTTTAGATTTCGACCTTCAGAAGTTGGCTTCTTCAGAGACTGGTTTTCAAAAGTTGGCTTCTTCAGAGTCTGGCCTTCAGACGTAAACTTCTTCAAAGTATGGTCTTCAACTTCTGATCTTTCAGATTCTCATCTTTAAGCTTCTATTTAGATGTTCACTAAGAAAAGCAATACTTAGTTTGTTCCTGGAATTTTAATCTATGAACCTTCACATTTAAACAAATACTTGTATATTCAATTGTTCTTTAAATACTTTGTTATCATAAAAACCTAAGGGGTATGGTACAAATCAATTTTGTTCCAACAATGGATACATCAGACATGACATGTAAGTCAACCATCCAGAGTAGAAGGTTATGGCTTACAATGGACGCATCTCACGATGATATACGTACGCTTGGGAGTGTATATATTCTACTACCAATCGATCATGATACACTATGAAGGACTCTATCGCCTGATTTTATTTGAGTAAGGCAAATGCAAGAGCACGTGGTATATCCTTAATGTAGGTCGGAACACGTGAGCATCTAAATATTTGTGGGAAGTGTTGGAGGATCCATGTCTGAAAGTGGTACGTATGAATTATTATTATTAATGGTATAGCTCAAGTGTTATGAAAATGACACACAAACACTAAAAGATTCAAATATATTATCGTCAATAGTGTGCAGCTACCTATCATATGTCTGATCTTCCACAATAAACCTTCAACTAACTTAGAGAACATGTAGACTAAAAAAACGACCTCTCCGTTGTACTCATGTTTTCTCTCCAAGTCAACGAATTATCTCAAGTAAACTACATCCACATAATTGGAACTTTTGTCCATAAAAATGGATGTGCCAACCAGGTACAATAGATATGTTCTCAATATGCACGTTATAAGCTGCATAACATGTTCATCATCACCAGAGGCCTGCTTCGCCCCATGAAGCTATTGTGTATACAGCCTCTCCAAGAATCGAACCTAGCATGTCACCCTCAGGTGGCTTCTAACTCCTGCAGGGCACCCCCTGGTTCAACTTCAAGATAGTCCACTATCATAATCACTGCCTCATCTCTGCTAATTTTATTATGGTCTAACAGTCTCCCTCTGATCAGAAAATATAGAGAGCATGAAACATCATCTAGTGTGATGGAGATTTCACCATGTGGAAGATGAAAAGATGATGTTTATGAGTGTCATCTCTCTACAAACGTGAATAACATATCATGGTTTACCGTAACATAATGGGTCACGCACAAGTCTCGCATCCTATATAGTTGCATCGTATCCTGAAACCATTACTCAGTAGACTACAACAGACTAACAATCTTTCGGTCATGGTTGATGCATTTTGAAGCACGGTGGTCATGTAGAAAAATAAATCATCGTCAAAAACTTTGAATATTATAACGAATGTGTTTCAAAGAATGAATACAAATGAGTTTTACTACTTCGTCCCACACATGCCTGGCAGCATGGCTCGGATATAGAGGCAATAGCAATAAGTCGGACGAGCCTCCTTCAAACCCCTGGGGTCTCTAGGGTGTCGTCTCGGGTGCCTCGGTTGCATCGAGTTCCTTAACATGTATCAGTGGAGCATCTGGAGGTGACACATGCCTTCTACAGGAAGACGAAGGAGAAGATGCATGAGCCTGAGAAGTTGACGTCTCTACATCAACCGAACTAGAATTGACTAATGCTTGTGATAATCGAGCTCTTCATCTCTAAATAGATGCATGGTGCACAACTCTGTCGTGCCTTAATCTATCTTGATTATCAGCCATAATGTCCATAGTTTAACCACACACGCATTATACAAATAAAACACAATGAAGTAAAATCAAACAATGCATACAGGAAACAAAACCAGAAATGCATTTTCGAATTTTGGAAATTAAGACGTTGAAAAAATCTGGAGATGCATTTCCAAATTATTCTACAACTCAAAAGAACAAAAAAATGTCTTTAAATCAACATCCAAGAAAACACCTTGATTATTTAAACTACATATCAAACACATTACTATGTTAATAACCTATCTAAATTACCTATTACATAACATAATGCTCAATTTTTACAAATGTATATAGAAATAAAAAATTTACCAAATGAGAGTTTAATGTTGAGCTCTTTGGTCGATTGTATGTTGATGGTAGAAACTTAAAAGTGTGTTGAATGAGTTTGAGAGTATATGAGTTAAGGGAGTTTAAGAGCTGAAAGGTTTTGAGAGTTTTGAGAAATGAGAAGAGATTGATGTGTATTTGATTAAAAATGGGTCTGGAGATGCATCTCTGTAACATATAAGGAGATGTATTTCCGTAAAACAATTTAACATGACCTTAAGGTCTTTATCAAAAAACAAATATGAATTGAGTGCGTGCGAAAATGTATTTCCGAATTCTATAGATAGTTTTAATTTTTCAATAGGGTGAAAAAACAATTCTTAGGGTGTGTAAAACAATTCCCAAACTTTATGTTAACATACATTTGCAAAAACCTAAAAAAATAGGACAGAATAGGATAAACACACTATAGAATACGAACATGACCTATTTTATCCCACTTAACAAAGATATTGTCAACTTAGATTCCACGTTAAGGATGTGCAAACTCTCAGGTGATAATAGTTTTAGTAAATTAGATGAAAGTTGATTTACGATATTTGTTGACATCTCAATGATCGCATCATAGTAGGCTATAGCAATTGCTGTTCATGCTATAAGCTTTGGATGCCAAATTGATATGGAAAACACCGAAGCTTGCTCAGAGCAAAGTCTATAATGGCAGGGTAAGAAATAATCTCATATGTCAGCTCAACAGAAATGGTACTTTGACATAAATATTTGATGTTAAATACTATGTCCTTCTATCTTTGGCCGACAAAATAGTGCAGAATTTTTGTCTTTTTGTAAAATGGATTACTAGATAGTGGTCTAATTGAGTGGCTTCTTTTTGTTACTTTTGAAATGATGGAAAATGTTATTGGTCCCTAAAGTTTTGGCACGAGACAAATATGCTAGTAGTTGTTGTTTTTATTATTATTATAAAAGAAGGGTGTCATGATGCAAATAATGGAATTGATAATGTCATTTTGCACCTTACAGAACAAAACAAAAAGAATCATGACATAGGTATTTTGTATTTTCACCTAATCAATCATATATGTCCACATTTCATCTTTTGCAAAACCCATTTTAGTTATATGAATCATACTCATATCATCCTTTTCCCTCTTCCTTTCACAAATTCTTTGTTTTCTTAGAGTGTGTATTGTATGTGTGTGTGTGATGGGTTCTGAAGCAGAGGGAAATCAACAGAGCAGCATACCAAGGCTCCCTTTGTTCTCTACTCCACCAGCAATGCATATGAAGTCGTCTCCGGAGAGATCAGGGACGGTGACTCCACCGCTGCAAACCTCGGGTTCAGTACCGTTTCGATGGGAGCAAGAACCTGGAAAACCAAAGCTATGCAATGCACTTGTCCCCTACATCAATCCAACTGACAAGAGTTTGGAGCTTCCTCCAAGGTTGTTAGTGGTACCTTCACCGACCCTATTGCAGCCGGGACCTTATGTAACTAGCAATAGATTCCGGTCACCGTCTTTTAGAATAGAAAACAACACCAATTGCTATGGTTCTTCTGGTACTAAGAATATTCTTGTCAAAGGAGACAGTGGTTGGTTTGGTTCATGGAGAAAAAATGTCAAAAGAGATCAGGTCACTGGAGGTAGTCATGTCTTTCCATCTTCAACTGGCATTGCAGAGACTCCTGTGACACACAACAACAAGATGATGAAACGTTCTGGGAGCTCTTCCAGCCACTCTCATCAAGACAAGCCTCGTGTTTGGGTAAGCTTCAACTCTTTCATCATTCAATGTTTCAACTTTCATGGAATTGTTGTTGTTATTATTATTACAAGCATTTGCAGAGAAGCATCCGTGAGGGGATGAAGCAGGTGGTTACACTTCAATGGAGGAGCAAAAAGCTGAAGAAGAAAGATGGAAGTAGCCTTCTTAAGCATTGAGATTTTGTTAGTTGGTTAAAATGTGAAACTATCAACTACATCATCATCTGTACTATATTTACAGTAGAAGACAACACAACCAGCTTACACTGTTGCAACACTACTGTAAAAAAAAAGTGTGTGGGGTTAGTTCAATGGTTAGTTCATGCTGTTTTCTAGTTGGATGGTGATAAGCTGTACAAGATTTTTAAAATTATAATCATGTCTCTTTACTCATTTCTTTCTCCTCTTCCATTCCTTTTGCTTTTAGTGCTTGTCTTTATTAGGGCAAAATAACAAGTGAATTTTCAATCACTCTATTTTTTTCTAAGTTGTAATACACCATTGAATTGACTACAGTTCACACCATTGAATTGGCTACAGTTCAATTCACTTTCAGTACACATATACTTCTAATAGCATGTAATTAAATTGAGGGAAAAATTATGTTTGAATTTATAGATTTCCCCCCTATTTTTAACAAATTAAGTTCAAATTCTATACAATAATTATGAATGTATGACAAGATACTAGTTTTTTCATTCGGCTCTGAAATGTTTTATCTCAAAATACAAAATCTCTTTCGTTTTGATTTTTATAAAACAACAAAAAAAATTCATTTGCAGAGAATTTTTTTTACAAGCAACTCCTATTATAACATAAGTTTTAAAAATAAATTAGCATAAAATGTTGAATAATGATAATAAATTATAACATACTATAAGATCACTTTTAAAATTAGTTACTCTTATAAATAATTGAAAATATAATTACAACATTTTAAGTATTTTATAACAATTATTTAATTACTACAATATGAAACTTTTATGAGAATAAATAAAAGTTCGATATTGCATCTAACCAATTAAATTAACAAACTACTTTTTTATTCTAAAATTTAATAACACAGTTTAATTAGCCTTGTTCAAGTAATATTATTAGTAATAATATATTATGCTCATTCATCCATGCAATAACTACATATAAGCCCCCAGTTTGCACCACTTATGAGCTTCACTTTTTAGTGCTAGTGTTTTATTTTAGTACCGGCAATTGTTTACTCAATTTTGATTTTGTACGTAAGATTCATAAAAAGAAAGTACTTGTGTCTCAAGCCGGCTTAACAAAAATTATTTATATTGTCACTAGATGAAACAGTTAAGACTTAAGAGTGCATTTGATATTAGACCCAAAATCAACAAGGTAACAGAATAAACATACATTCAACCAAACACTTAACCTAAATATGAAATGAAGCCTCTGGATGAATCTGGAACTGATAGATTGTAACAAATTGATGCTCAATCAAATGTTTTGTAACTAGGTACTTTTATTACTCACAGAATGAAAAGAAAAAAAAAAAAAGTTCAAGCAGAGAAGCTGGCAATTATCCACCACTTGTATCTCAAGTAAATCAGCTTACTTTTGACCTGCCATACTTTTAACCACCTGCAATAAGGCAGAACCCCAATATCAGGAAAGGACGCCATAAATGTAAATGATTGCCCCTCTTTTGGGGATTGGGAATTAAGGACTAGGGAGCACATCTAAAACCGGTTCAAGAGAAAATGTTCCTGCAACTAATGGTGTGTTTACATCTATTACAAGTAACTCATAAGGTAGAGAACTGGTAATCTCTCTTTCCTAACAATGGTAAAAAAAGACAGTTTTTTTTTACAGTTAAGGGAGTGAAAATAATGTTACCCCGCATAATGACATTAAATATTTAATTTTTTTATACCTATTATTCGGTTTCAAAACAATACTGCAAAGTTAAAGCCAAAAGAAACACTCACATCACTCAAAGCAGTTTGAGGAGGCTGTTCGGTTGTTTGATATGAGTCCAGAATAGGCCTCACAACAGCAGGAAGAAAAAGGCCTGCAGAAAAATTTTCATAGCAAGTACAAAGCATGTCAATAGAAAACAACTATATCCAACTAGAAACATGTTTAACATGCAATAAATCTAAATTTTAGCCTAATCATGAACTCTCCATGCTGTTACTTATATCCCTATTTTAGACAAGATAATCAATGAGTAGGGTTCCTCTCCATTTCCCAAAAGAAATGGAGTTTTATTACTATAGTTTTATTTGAACATAGGCACACATTCCTAAACTATGTGACATGGCTTTTAGGTGACTTTATACACAAAATTATAGTAAACGGAGTTCAACATTTCATTGGACTGGATCCTCTCCGGTGAACGGAGGGTTCAATGGAATCTAGGCCATTGAAAAATAAAATGTGGGGATTATACTACTACAACAACAACAACAAAGTTTTATCCCACTAAGTGGAGTCAGCTACATGGATCAACTTTTGCCATTATGTTCTATCCAGGACCATGCTTCTATCCAAACCATTAATCTCGAGATCTTTCTTAATAACTTCTCTTATAGTCTTTTATGGCCTTCCTCTTCCTTTAGTTGTTTCACTTCTCTCCATATGATCTACTCTCCATGCCACAAAATCTACAGGTCTTCTCTCTACCTGCCTATGTTAGTTTTGCTATGTATATCTGATTCCAATCACAAATAAAAGGAGACAGCCAACGTAAAGCCATTGTCGAGTATCTAACTATCTATGACAAAATGTGGAGATTACAAATATTAAAAATAAGATTGAAGGGTTTGGATTCATCCCCCATTCCTTTTGAGAAATGGAGGGATCTCAGCCCATAATCAATGAGCATCTTGAATTTGATCCTATCCATAATGCAACATTACCAAATAAAAGCATAGGCTATCCAGGCAATTAGGTGTACAAACTAAAGGCCGGAGCAAAAAGGGTGTTTTCATCCGTTTAATCAGAATGATATTATCCAAACAAGATCTAGAATGTTAGAAAAATCAAAACTACAGATTTCTATCATATTTTTGGCGCATCTAATTGCAGCGTTTCATTTCAGTAATCGGAAAACCCCAATTCTGTAGATGAGAAGGTAAATAAATCAACACTTAACCCTAATTTTAGCAGTAAAGGAGTATTATATATGAAATTATTGAGAAGAGGAAGGTTAAGATTAGGGTTCAGAGAGATACCAAAGCCGGCGATGAGACATGAAGCAGCGACAACTGGTTCTTGAACAACGAACATCTTGAGCTTCTCCATCACAGGCATTTTGATTTTCGATTTCGATTTCGAACTTCCAACTCCTTCTCTTCAATTTCGTATCTTCCACTCGCTTCTCTTTCCTTCACTGTTTTCTTTTCTTCTGTTTTCCCTTCTCCCTTAAGAAGTTTGGGCCAAGACAAACTTAAGGTGGGCCAATCAAGCCCAATAAATTATAGGGCGCTACTTTGTATACTCCCCATGGGTGTTAATTCCCCGTGGCAACAAGTCATAAATGTCTTTAGATTTTGGAGTTGTGGCTTCTGACATATTCATATTACACATATTTAACATTTTCGTAAGTGATTTATATTATGTTGTCCAAAAATGTATTCACACTAGTTTTGAAATTTTTTTTATCTTTACCCTTGATTTGTTTGGTCTTTATATATTTTTTTCTCACATTTTTAATTATGCGATACTTATAAAATAATGATTTATAATTGAATTCATTAGTGTGATATGGCAATTGTTTACAATGATCTTTGGCTATTTTATTGGTTCTTAAACATAATTTTTCACTATTTTTAACCTTCAATTTCTAACTTCAAGTTCATCAATATTCATAATTTCAAATTTACATTCAGATGAGACATTTGAATCTCTACAATTTTATAGAAATGTTTTCTTGAAATTTTGTAACCCGGTCCCTTTTAGGCTAATTTTTTATCAACGAATTTTTAATTCAAGATATGTATTCAAATGTGATTTCATCAAATTTATCCAAAAGGATCTAGCAGTGTTAAAATATTTCAATAAATTTGGACTTCTGCATTTATAGTTTCAATTGAACTAGTTTATCCCTATGTATGAATCACCTTAAATATGTATGAATCACCTCAAATAAGTACATTTTAGCTATGAAGTTGTTCAGTAACTCTAAAGAGATAACTAGTGTTTCATACTTGAGATCATTGTTTAAACTTTGTTTGAATAACCTAAATAAGAACTTAGTTTGTGATCCTTTTAAAATACAATGAGCCTTCTCATCCCACTGTCTCTTTCATAGCATGAACTATTGAGGTATAACTTTAAGGGATTATGGCTAAATAGTTTTGTTTGAAGTTATTGTCTTTACTTGCTGAATAATTTACCAAAGAATTTGAGACCTTTCATAACTTTCAGAGATACATATGTTAGAGGAAATTTAGTTAAGGCTAAATCTCATTTGTTCGACTCTACTATGTAAGATAGGTTTCAATAACAAGTGTTTTATAATAAAATATTTACACGCTAAAAGTATAAATGCATGATAATCTCTAGTGATTAAGGTTCGTCTCAAGATTTTGGATTGTTATGATATTGATATGTGTGTATTTTTGTAATGTAGTTCTTCCCTTAAATATTTTGATACTGATGTATTTATAATCTCAAAAGTCTGAAATTGAATCTTTTTATAATATAGCAACTACTCTAGGAATAGGTGATCGGTTCCCTAAAATTTAGGAAGTGTAGTTAAATCTTATGACTTTGTATACAAAGTTTGTTGATCCAATACACGCTTTACACATGATTCCGCATTAGAGACGAAAATATTGAAGGTCTAGTCGACACATTTGGAAAAGGGGACTTTGTATCAAAAAAGAGGATGTTCAAACCGGTCAAAAGAAAACTTACATGTACTTTTCGTCCCACTCGAAGAACCTTCAAATTATACCACTACAAAATTATACCAAATTAATTATAATTTTTCTATAGTACTATATATAATTTCAACATCAAATAGTTTTTCTATAGTACTATATAATTTCAACATCAAATAGAGTTCTATTTAAATAATAGATTGCTCTCTCATTGTCATTTGAACTCTTAAATGGTCTAAAATAAAATCTTAAATCCCTAAAATAAAATAAAAGTTTTGAGTTCAAAGCATTATAGATGAAAAAAATGATATTTCATTAAGATGATTAGTCTAGTCTAATTTTTCAACATAGAATAGTTATTTGATAAAATAAAAAGATAATTTGCCCCAATAATGTAATTTTCATTAAAAAAAATAGATTATCAAACTAGCTTTACATTGTCATTTTTCATTCTATCTTCAATATCATTATCAGATATAATTTTGTTATTTGAATAAACTTGTGTGTCAACTTTTCTTATAACAACAAATTTACATTAGAAGAGACACAATCATTAATCATATTAAGAATTTACGTATACTATATGAATTTTATACTTGAATGTAAGACAAAATTGATGTAAGCAGAAAAATTAACAATGTTAGTCAACCGCAATCAGTCAATATCAACTTATAAGGCTATATGTTTATAATTCATATTATAAATCTAAAATTCGACACAATTGATCAAATAAATAGATATAAATAATTCTTAATACTAATATGTAATTTACTTTCACAATTTTCTTCTTGTTTTGGAAGAAAAAAAATGTTGTAATTTGTGAACACATTCTTCATAATCATAAATACAATCCTAGCTGTTTTTCATCATCATCATCACAGAAAGATTTACATACATAATCTCTATGCGATACAAAATTACAAAGCAAAATGTACAGTTTATGTACTAACTAATCTACAAAAATACAAACAAATCTCATAACTTATGACAAGCAGTACGATGATTCAAATATATTACAAAACTATGAACATGGTGACATCCAACCAACAGTCCATCCTAATAGCAATCCCGCTCCAACAAGACTTAATCCTAAAGCAATCGCAACCGCATACGTTGTAATATCACAATTCCCCTTGCCTTTTCTGTCGCGTCTGCTACTGGAATATGTCTGCTTTCTCTTCCGTGATTTCCTACGTTCATCCGACATCCACGGAAGAGCAACCGGAAAGAGAGTTGAGGTTGACTGATCATTATTCTTGATCTGATTGCAGAGAGTTTCCAGCTGCAGCAGCTTAATCAATTGCTTATAGGCAAAAAGCTGTGAAGCCTGTTTAAAAATGAGTGTAACAATGTGCTCTTTCTCCGCGTAAGCTTGTTTCGCTGCTTCCTCCGCTTCCCGTGCACGTGTTTGAGAGTGACATAATGCCTCCATTAATTGAGCTTTGCTAGCGTCTCCCTCAGAAATTTGTATATTTTGCTTGACATCGTCGAGTATAGGGGTATCACTGCAATGAAGTTGCGAGTCCAAACAGATATTAAGTAAATCAATATACGTGACAAACTACAATCCCTTTAAGGCACTAATGTGATTATTTAATATCGACAGCAAAATACCTCGAAGATTTGGCAGAAGCGAAATACAAGAGTCCTTCATTGGCAGAAGGACCCTGCTTCGAATTGGAAAACCTTCCGGATTCGGCGTCCAAGTTATAAGACGCTGTCTTTGTTTTGTCATTATTAGTAATAATCCTAGAACAAGAGTATCCAGTAAGATGCTTCTTCTTAGGAGGAGGAAGATCACAATTCTCAATATGGTTGGATGATTTGTGTGAAACAAAGGAAGCTAACTCGTCTCTATCTGCCATTCGCCACCACGGTTCGGCTTTATCACCTTCAATCCAAGAATAGTCAGGTTCCGAGGAAAAATCCTTCGTTTTCTTGGAGGCCAACGAACAAGCAATTGAGTCGTTCTCGATTTTCTCGTGCTTTTCCATCACATCCTTTAATTCAAGAAATGCTAAAGAACTTTTACTAGATCCCTTACTTTCATCGCTAGCTATCAAGGTTTCTACCTCTTTCTCCAATGCACTTAACTTTTCATTTGTTAAACCTTTTTGATACCCATAACTAGGTTGTGATTGCGAATGCAACCACCACCTAGGATCAGGTGGCGGATTACAGAACGATGATTTGCTGCTAAAATGGGCGGATTTAACAGCTGCGCAATCTGATTCGTCTGCTGTATTCGTAACTCCAGCATCAACCAGCTTTGAAGTCGCACTTGAAGATTGACGACAAGCCAACTTAGGAGCTCTTTTTGCATCTTCTTGCACAAAGCACCGATTAGCAGTTCTCTGCCACAGAGCCCTCGCTTCTGCTGCCGCCATCACTTATCTATTTTTGTTCATAGTTTCTGAACAAAATAATAATATCGGCAGTTTAAAAACCTCGGTAGCACTAACACGTACAACGACACTTGTAATTATGTATAATTTAATTATTTTGGCAAATTATTACTGGTTTCAACGTGTCAGGTTTTGTGTTTGTGGTTCATGTGTTTGTGGTTCATATGTTTAAACATAAATTGTATGAATACATTACAGAGAATCAGATTCTGAAGCTTATAGTAAAAGTAAAAGCCATAACAATATCACTTTTATCAAAATTGAACGGTAAAAAAATGCCCTAAATTCTCACCAACCCCGTTTCAGAATCAGATTATGAGTTTTTCATCATATACTCACCATATTAAAAGACTCTCAGATCAGAGGCTTCAAGTAAAAAAAAAAAAGTAACAATCACAGTGGTAAAACTCAAGCATATTCATAACATCCGTGAAAATCAAGCAAAAATCATACAAAATTAAACAAAGACCTACACAAATTATGTTTATGAAGCCTAACCGAGAGAAAAAATGGTAGACGTACATATAGAATTGAGAGTACGAAAACTAACCAAGAGAAAAAATTGTAGATAGTGGGGGAAGGGTAGATCAAGTCGAATAGATCGAAAAGAATGGCATGAAATTGAGATTCAGAGAATGAAGAAACTGGTGATGAAACATGTGAAAAAATAACATGTCTTTTGTTTATGTTTTTCTTGTTTTTTGTTTTGTTTGCGTTATTAATTATTACTACTAGTGTTTTTTTTCCGGCTTGATTCATTCGTTACAGAAAGATGAAGGAAGAAGTTTAGTACTACGACGTCGTTTGGTGCGTTATCTTTTCTGTTTTTTCTTAAGCTGTCTTTGTCAAATGGTTGGGTGGTCCATATGCTTAACATGGGTCCACACAAAAATCTAATGTAGGGAGATTTGCATGGAGCGTCTATGTGATGACACGTGGCATTGGTAAGAGGTAATCGACGGTGGATTATTTGTCCTTTGGGCCGTTTTATAGATAAGAAGAAAGAACTATACTCTATGACTCTATCTTTCTTACATAGATGGACACCTTTTTCTTTTTAAATTGCTTTTCATATTTTATAATTAACATAGGAAATATCCTTAATATGAAAGTAAGACTAATCATCATTTCATCCTTAATATAAAATTGCATATTTTATGTGCAATTTTTTTCCTCTCTTCTCCATCATTTATTTTAATAATGAAGAAGAGAGAAAAATAAAAACCACAAATAATCTTCATCATTTATTTTAAAATTTAATAATTTAGATTCATTCTTTTATATATATATATATATATATATATATATATATATATATATATATATATATATATATATATATATATATATATATATATATATATATATATATATATATATATATATATATATATATGGAATATATTCTATGAGAATATCATTTTTATGTGAGAAAATGAAAATGAATTTGAATAGATTTTAAACTAAATTATGGAGATTATGTATCGTTTTTATTTTTCTCTCTCCTCTATTATTAAAATAAATGATGGAGGAGAGAGAAAAAAAACTAACACATAATATTTACCATTTATTTTAAAATTTAATGGTTCAAATTCATTCACATATTGTCACCTAAAAATGATATTCTATATGATTCGTTCTCTCTCTCTCTCTCTCTCTCTCTCTCTCTCTCTCTCTCTCTCTCTCTCTCTCTCTCTCTCTCTCTCTCTCTCTCTATATATATATATATATATATATATATATATATATATATATATATATATATATATATATATATATATATATATATATATATATATATATATATATATATATATATATATATATATATATATATATATATATATATATATATATATATATATATATATATATAACTTTCCCAAAGCCGGACGGAAGAAGTCGTAATGTATTATGAGTTTTTTTTATCTGATCTCCTTTATTTCGCCTTCGCAAGGTCTGTTTTTTATAGTGTCTCTCGTTAATGAAAAAATAATATCACATTTACGACCATAATGATCAATGATTTGTCATGTAGGGCATTAAACACTATTGATGTGAGTGTTTTCTAGGTTGTCGGATGATATGGTCGAGCATGGATTCTGCACATACTTGTTGAAACCGACTTCGAAGTGATACTCGAGTTACCGTTTGGGAGTTATGTACATCTCGAATGTACATACTTTTATACCTTTTTGAAAATATATCTCGGATGTACATAGCCCTCCAAGCGTGAGGCGTGAAGGAGCGAAACGCTTAAGTTTATCATCGTCAAGATACGTGAGATGATAACCGAGGTGTGTTGATCCAAGGGAAGATATCCCGGATGTACATACTTTTATACCTGTCCGAAAAGATACCCCATATGTACATAGTCCCTCAAGTGCGAGGCGTGAAAAGGCAGGTGCTTAAGTTTACCATCGTCATGATACATGTGGTGATTTTCAAATTGGGGCTACCACAACCTACCTTCCGGGTAACCGTTCCAGATACGGGAAGGGATTCTCTAGGGGTGGGGGACTAGTTTTATTAAGGTAAACGTCTATGAAGAGCATGATATAGTTTTTTCTCTTGTCTAGTGTAACGCCAGAGAACGATGAGTGTAGAGAGTGGATGTAAAACTTAAGGTTAAAGATAGCAGAAAGTGGTTGTTGAATTCACATCGGAATGAGAGGGATTCTGAGGCTGCGCATGTATGGGACTGCATGGTTGAAGGAAGACTTATAAGGATTGATTGGTACTACTTATATCAACATGATGCATCTTATTTTTGTTAGTCTAACAAATAAGAACTTCATAGTTAATGAGGTTTGACTTGGAGTAGTATTTGGATGGGTAACCTTATGGGACATTTCTCGAAAAATGTGTGATCAAGACAAAACATGCTGAAAATACTCGTGTTGGTTTGTGGGGTTAGTTGATAACTCTGAAAGCAGTATGGGGTGTTACAAATGGTATCAAAGCCAAACCTCTCCCAGTACGATGTCGTTTGGGGACGAACCAAGCGAAAGTTGTTGGGCATGTAACACCCGAGGCCAAAGAGGGCGGAGAGTGGATGTAACACTCGAGGCTGAAGAGGGATGAGAGTGGTCACCAAATTCATGTCAAAATGTGAGGGATCCTGAGGCTGTGGAGGTATGGGACTGCATGGTTGAAGGGAGGCTTATAAGGATTGATTGATATTACCTATACCAACAACATGCATCTTCTTTTCGGTAGCCTAAAAAATAAGAACTTCATAGTTAAGGAAGCTTGACTTGGAGTAGTATTTGGATGAGTGACATTATGGGAAGTTTTTCGGAAAACGTGTGAGTGAGGACAAAACAAGTTGCAAAGACCCATGTTGGTTTGTGGGGTCAGTCGGCAATCCTGAAAGCAATCTGGGGCGTTACATGTAACACCCCGCTCCCAAAATAAAATAAAACAAACAAGTAAAACACATATCAGAGTTTCCTCCCAACGGGATGTCACAATTTCACTTCAAATTCCATAAATAAAATTTTCCAATTAAATTAACTGAACTTCTCATAAAATTTCAGCGGAGAAGAGAATAAACATAGTCTGTCATAAATCTCAAAACATCATAGATATACATCAACCATATCCGTCATCCTCATATGTGTACATACATACGACAGCCATCTGCCCAAAATACATGACATCATCAAAACATCATCACGCATATACAAAAGTCAGACACGCCACTAGGGCACACATATCAATAATAACAGAAAAACTCCCAAAACGCCCCGGTGTTACGTATCAGAGCAGTCCTACGAGACACCACAAATCCATCTAGCTAGCACCTGTGTTGTCTGCACTTCCGGAGAAGCACATACCACAACAACAACGACAAAGGGGTGAGAATTACGATCAAATAATAATAGCATATAAGTGCATGAAATAAAAGCAGCAATCAATAATAATAATATTATTTCATACACACATCATCCGGACTCACGGTCCCACCCCCATCCATAATTCACAATCGCGCAACAAACGCGCTCACACCACTCACAATATACGATACCAACTCACTACCACGATGGGCACCAGGCCATCAACCCTCCACGCGGGAGCACAAAATATAACGATGGGCAACTGACCATCAACCCTCCACACAGGGAGCACACCACACCGATGGGCAACTGGCCATCAACCCTCCACAATGGGAGCACTATAATAATGCTGATGGACACTTGGCCATCACCCTCCGCTACGGGAGCATATCTCCGATGGACAACTGGCCATCACCCTCCACACCGGGAGCACCTCATCAACATCGATGGACACATGGCCATCACCCTCCCCACTGGGAGCACAACATGATATTGATGGTCACTGGGCCATCACCCTCCTCTACAGGAGCACAACACCATAACCACACACATTAAACAACTAGCACACTAAGTGCACATGAATCATATTGATCCATTCCTCGCCACACACATACACTACGCCCACGGCGTACCGATCCCACGGATCCGCTCACTATACAATTCGCCATATACAATGCACACAAGGCATATCGGTCTTACTGACCCAATACTTCACATAATAGCGTGCAAACGCAACGCACGATAAGCGTATTGATCCCCACGGATCCATTTTCCACAACACACTGACACAACGCACCCAAGTCGCAACGGTCGTACTGATCTTCACCTCTCACACTCGGCACACACACGGTGCACACACTACACGTCTCTGCATATCCACACTGGTTCACACATAACGCGAATTCCCCCAATTATGCCACGGGCGATAAACGCCGGCCAAACAGCCCCACAACCTCATACACACGCTCGCATTAACTTCCCAACAAGCCTCTCATCGCATACGACTAGTAAGGGTCGAAGTCCGCGAAGGAACCACACTAAAACAGCAGCAAAACATAGCTCTGTTGTCGGGCTCGCTGGCACACTCGCCTGGCGAAGGCCCGCAGCAAACATTCGCCTGGCGAAGCCTGGAGAGGTCTCGCC